AATTCGGTTTTAGTTTGGGTTATTTCATGGATATTAGCAAGACGTAACTATTTTGGAACATGAAACATATCACGTCCGGTATTTGTCATAAATTCTTTGTCCCATAACCTGTCACGTACACGTAAAATAAAAATATTACTGTCTCATATCTGTCATAAATAGAGTATGTGTAACTGGAAACGTATGTACATAGTTATGTGTGTAAACAAATTTATTTTATATAGTGCTTATAACCCGAACTCATACCAGTTGGATATTTAGTTCGATTTTTAATATATGTTCCCCTTCCACCTTTAAATACCATACAATATTACAATATATGTACTGTGAGTTTTGCGGATTAATATGTATGCTGTTAAAGTTATAAATATATTTTAACAAATTTATTAATGTTTCTAGCTAAATTTTGCATATTTTTCTTTTCATTGTTTAATCATAATTAATTCAATTTTTTTGAAATAAAATTAAAATTTGAGATATATCTATAAAAGGGATATGCTATTGCTGTATAATTTGTTTTGAATGCAACATATAAAATTAGTTCACATTATTTCGAAAACTGTGTGCAATATATTATGGATTGGTTTCTGGTTGAGAAGAAAAAAAAGAAAACACAAAATATTTCGAAATTAATATGTACAATCTATTATTTAGATATTTTCGAAACTTGCTCTAAATGAATGCCCAATATCGTTTTTTTAGAAATTGTGAAATAAAATTTTGTTTTATATTTCAAAATTTGTGAAAATATTATAACAAAACTGAGTCTTAAATATTTGTATTTAATACTTTTACGAAATTTCAAATTCAATCTTGGAATCCTCCATTGATAAAAAATTTTAAACTATAGTGTTTTTAATTTTGAATTAAAATGGTATTTTTTTTTTGATATAGAATAGTTTATTAGGATTGGTTTAGATAAAATTTTAGTTGGATATCAAATCTTAATTTTTCAATTCTCATTGGTTAACAACTTTTTAGAAAAAAAGTTTAAATTTTTGTCCATAATTAATAAGAGAGAGAAAATGAGTATAATTTTTTTGGAAACTAGTAATTACTTTAGAGAATTTTATTATTTTTTATTTAAATATATTATTTTGTGATTACTATTGTATTTTTAATGAATTTATTTAAAAACTAAAACTAATGGTATTTTTGTAATACTTTACACTTTATAAGGTTATTTATGTTTGAGTGTTTCCAATTAATAGTATAGATTTTATAATATAAAATGTGTCTCGTGGACGAGAAATCATCTCATAACTCCCTTTTGGGAAACACCAAACCTCTTATATCCCTTTTTTGTCTACATATCCCCTTCTCAATTAATGAAATGTGGCTTGACCATTTTACCCTCTCTTTATTTATTAGTATTGTAATAGATTTATTTGAATTTTAATTTAAAAAAAAAAAATCGAAACCTAGAAAAAAAAAAACAACGGTAGCTCTCTTCTCGAGCTTGAGCTCCACCTCCGGCGAGCTGCATTGTTGCCGTTTCTTCCGTTCTGGCGAGCTTCCGGCGAGCTACAGGTTAGTTCTTTTTGCTGCATAGAGCTTGAAATAGAAGCTTAGGATTTAAACAATGAGATTCAGTTCAATTAGATTTGGGTAATTGTGTTTGGGTATGCACATTGGAAGTTTATGCATAATTTCTGGGTCGAATAGGTCTGTAAATGGGTAAGAAATGGATTACATCAACTGAATCATAGTGAATTGTAGTTTTGAACCCGAAACCATTCGATTTGAGTTATTGTCGCGAAAGTACAACTGGTAGAACTGGGTAGAAATGTACCTGAATCTATTGAAAAATATATATGTAGTATTACTAGTTATACTAGTATTACCCAGATGTATGTAGTATGACTAGTTACACTAGTATTACCCATTTACATGTAGTATGACTAGTTACACTAGTATTACCCAGATGTATGTAGTATGACTAGTTACACTAGTGTTACCCATATATATGTAGTATCACCAGTTACACTAGTATTACCCATTTACATGTAGTATGACTAGTTATACTAGTATTACCCAGAATTGTAGTACAACTAGTACAACTAGTATAATTGACAGAGTTTTTGTATTGTTTTTGCAGGATACAATGATGGAGAACGTGAACATATATTTTAAATGCAAAGGTCGCATGTATAGCTTGATGATGAATACATCAGGGGGGAAAATAATTATCTCCATGTTAGAAGGTAGGATATGCACGAAGCTTGGATTAGATGAAAGTAAGGTTAAATTGTAAATGAGGTACAATGCAGTGCTGTTGGGACCAATTGAAGAGATTTACATTAGTGATGATGAGGACGTAAGTGTCTATATATCTTCAGGTGAAAATAACCGTAGATATGTTTTGAATGTGGACGTCATCACTCCACTAGAATTGCCCGAGCAACTGTCGAGAGCGGAGCTCCTCAATAAAAAGTTCTGTTGGTAAGAACTATGCAGAATTGGATTCAAATGAGGATGAAATGAGAGATAGTGCTGCCATCGTTTTGTGAGAATGCGATGAACAAGGAACATAACCAAATGAGGCAATAATGGAGGTTGATGATACTCAAGATCCTGAGGTTCGATCATGTGATGTATTCTCTGGTTTTGTAAAACTTGGTAAAACTTGGTTTCGTAATGGTACAACTATGTATGTCTTTGATTTCGTGTTTTTATGTATTCTCTGGTTTTGTAAAACTTGGTAAAACTTGGTTTCGTAATGGTACAACTATGTATGTCTTTGATTTTGTAAAACTTGGTTAAACTTGATTTGGTATAACTACGAAGAAATTAACAAATCTTTATAAATTCAAAATTATATCATAATGCTTGTTGTAATGAAATAGACAACTTAGTGTTACATAATCAAATTAGTGGTTTGTAATCACAATTTGGTAAATAAAATTTTCAAAAATCTTACACATTTGAACTTTCTACATGAAAGTTCTTATACTTTTAAGATGTCTTTCTTTTGAATATCCATGGTGAATGTCGAAAGTCTGAAAAATCAACATTTTACAAATATTATTGAATGAATATGTTTGGAATTTACCACATATACATAAAATCATGTGTACAACTAATAAAAATTAATATTAATCCAAGAATAACTAATTATATAGAAAAACCCCAAAAGTCCAACTGTGTGTAAGCGAGTACAACTTGTAAACTTGGAAAAACTGTGTATATTTGACGGCGCCATGTGTACAAATGACGGCGCCACGTGTACAAATGACGGCGCACACGTGAATAAAACAGGCCCCACGTGTCCCAAAATTGAAATTTTTCCATTTTTTTGGGTTTTCTCCCAAATTTGACGGCGCACATGTGTAAATTTGATTCACACATGTGTAAATTTGACAGTGCACATAGTTTTACCTAGTAATACCAGTAGTATAAATAAAAAAACAAAACCAACATAGTTTTACCTAGTATTACCAATTGTACAAATCTAAACAACAACCATAAGACAAAGATATAGTGAAGAAGGCATATCATACAACGCTCTTAGTAAATATGACTCCATGGACGTAGCATCTTATTCAGTCTTTGTGTGCCCAATAACAATGCTAGTTAAGAAGTAGAGGACTGTGTAAAAAAAAAAAAAAAAAGTCAAAATTTTCTCTCAAATGGCTGCACGGACATAGCAGCTTCTCAAGTCATTTCGAACATTCGATTTTGGGTAAGCTTTTAACATGGAGAGAGTTATCTTCTCCCCTGATGTCTTCATCATCAAGATATTCATGCAACCTTCGCATTTGAAATATATGATCACGTTCTCCCTCATTGTATCCTGCCAAAACAATACAAAAACTTTGTCAGTAATACTAGTTTTACTAGTTCTACTACATTTGTAGTAATACTAGTGTAACTTGTCATATTACATATATCTGGGTAATACTAGTGTAACTAGTCATACTACATATATCTGGGTAATACTAGTGTAACTAGTCATACTATATATATATATATATGGGTAATACTAGTGTAACTAGTCATAGTTATACCCTTGTATTACCAGTATTACTGATAATAGTAATACCCTTGTATTACCAGTATTACCCAATTCTACATGTATATCACACATAATAGTATTCTCTGTTCTACCAGTTTTACCAAGATACCTTAGTGTTTTCCTGTTCTACCAGTTTTACCCAGATATCCAAATAATGTTACCCTATTATACCAGCATTACCCAATTCAAATACTTACCATCTCCGCCGCATTTTTCACTCGATTTCCATTTGCTATCTCATCCTTGATACTCTCATCAGAGGAGGAGTCCAACAAGGTTGTACTACTACCACTAGTCTCTCCTCCGTCTTCGCCATTCCCTCGACCTTCTTCGTTCTCTTCTTCGTCATTCCCAGACTCTTCTTCCTCATTCTCTTCTTCATCTGCCTCGAGAACCGGACTTAACATCGGAACTTCTTCTTCAACTCCTTCTCCTCCCTCAATTGGCTTCTTTAACTCCGTCGGGGATGGCTGCAAACTCGTTGCTCCTCCATCTTCTTCCCTTACTTCTTTTCATCGATCCGGAGCATACGTTCCCCTCTTCCTCTTTCTCCCAGCCATAATCGACAACAAGGATTTCTCGAAGATAAAACGGAGATTTAAAGGGAGAGAATTGGCAAAGAAATCGAGAGATATATGAAGTTGAAATCGAGAAATCGTGGAGATAACGGTTGTCTCTTTTGAATTTCTTAACTATTGAAGACGAATTGAATGAGAATCCACGTCGTGGAAAGAGGAGAGAAAACGAAAACGCAGAAAACGGAGAGAAAATGGTCGTGAGAGAAGTTGGCTCGTTGAGAGGAGTTAGGGTTCGTGGGTTTTTGGGTTAGATCCAAAATCAGTTTGGTTGGGTGGATAAAACCCAGGTTTAATGTGTAGTTTTAGTATTTTGGCTAGGGTAATATTGTAACTTCCGGCATTTTCGATTTAAAATTAAATACAATTTTTATTCTGTTTTTAACGGGGAGATATAAGACATGCTCACTCGCTTTTCTCTCTCTTCTCTCTCTCGCATCATTTAGAGAGAGAAAGCTGAAACTTTTCTTGCTTTAGTCGGCCGGATTTTTCCGGTGACTACCCATGTCCAGCATCTTCTCAATCGTTTATGGAGATGGTTGGCTTATGTCTGGCAGCGATCGACTCATCTAGCGACGTTGGCCGGCTTTGCGTTTTCACCCCGCCGTAGATCGGGTTTCGTCTTCCGATCTCTTTAGTTTTGTTGTTGTTTTTCTTTCAATAATATCCATGGATCTGGTTTGGTGGAAAATTTTAGGTGCTCTGTTACTTAAAATTATTATTCTCCTGCTTGTTTCCATTGAAAATATGAGTTTGCATAAATCTATTTGGAGATGACGTTTTAGATTAAAGAATCGAAGAATCTTCCGATGCATATTCTGATTTCCTTAAGCTGTTAGATTATCATGGAGTTTCGTTTGGATTCGGTGATAACCAGAAATTTCGTTTGATGTATCTTGACGACAATTTCTCACCGGAACGATGCTCACGGCGAAGGTTGATATCGGAAAACTTCTGTTTACTCATCCTACACGTGTTGTGGCTATGTCCACTAGATGACACGAGGGTTTGGATTGAGTCCAATGTCAAAATCTCTTTTATTCTAAGCGGTTGTTTAATGGACTTTTGGGCCTTTTTGGCATCTGTAAACTTTTATGGGGCTATACGTTGTCCTTGTAATATGTGGAATGATAAATCAATACTCTTGAGACAAAAAAAAAACGGGGAGATATGGGGTTAGAGTTTGTCAAAAGGGGACTCGCCAGACGATTTCTCCTCGTGGACGTCATCTAGTTTGCTTATATTAAAAAGCCTGTGGATGAGCTTCTTCTGCGGCGATCAAAAACGCCGTCGACAATAATCTCACCGGCGCCACCAACACCGCCGATCTATCAACCAAACACAATCTCGCCGTTATATTCTCTCTCCATGGCGCTTTCATGCCGTGACACACTTATCCTCATCTTCCAGAAGCTAACCGTCGCCGATCTAGCTCGTGCGAGCTGCGTCTGCAAGGTTTGGAACTCTGTAGCCACAGAAGACGATCTAGTGGTATCGGCTTTCACGGCGCCATGGCGGATCAAAGAACTTGTTGGAAGACCAGCTTCTGCTTCGTTCTGGAGAGATAACGGAATCTGGAAATTTGCTATTTCTCATCGGATTCTTCGTGGTGATAGTGTGACTAGCCTCGCCGTCAAATACTCTGTTCAGGTCACAATTGATTGTCTCTTTCGATTCTTCGATTAATTTGGAATTGGTATTTTTTTGTTAAATTCAGCTATGAATTTGGATTTTGAGTGAATTAAGAAAACATATTAGATTGTTTAAAACTATAGAGTCAGAAACCTAAGAATCTATATTGATCCTGAAGCTAAATTCATGAAACAAAAATTCATGAGCTTAACTTCAATCTAAGTTCTATGGACAATGTAGGTTATGGACATAAAGCGGCTAAACAACATGATGAGTGACCATGGGATTTACTCAAGAGACAGACTGCTTATCCCGATAAGCAATCCCGGAATTCTCGCAAACGCTACGTGCTACGTAGAGCTAGACAAATATGCCAAACGGGAAGTTGCCGTGCTTTACCTCGAAGGTGCGCCGAAGAGAGAACAACCTGTACCTGGTATGAATCAACCATCCAACTTATCAGCCGATGGAAAGCGAAGGCTGATTGAATCTCTAAGGAGAAGCATGCAAGTGGATGATGGAACCGCTCTATACTACTTGGCTATCGCGGAAGGGGATCCTAGATCCGCATTGTCCGAGTTCTCGGCTGATCTCAGGTGGGAGAGGCAGGCTGGTCTCAACTAGGCCCGGCAAAGTAGGCTCTCGGATTGCTGATTTAAAGGTAAGTGGGTGTTTATATATGTATATGACATACCGCGCCATTTTTTAGTAAATCAAGATTTTCTGATTGTTATAGATTAGTCATGAATTTCAGGTTTCAAGTATACCTATCAGGAGTATGATTCAGGAATCAGAATGTAATTAGCTCCAGTATATAAGACTTATGGGGTGTGATTTATCGGTTTCCAATTCGAGCCGATATTGATATATGTAAATCCTTGCAAAGTTTTATCTTCCTGTGGTTCTTGTTGTTCATTTGGTGGTTTGAAATATTGCTGTCTTCTGGTAAGAAATATACATTAAACCCTGTTAAGTATAAGTATACTTATGACTTCTCAAAGTCTCGCATAATAAAATCTACAAAGTTCTTTATTTACGGTCATGGTGTGATTAATGTTATTTGTTACTATTGATTTAGTTTTTGAGTTGTGAATTTCTCTACATTGATTCTTGTGTGAATCATTGTCATTTCTGGTTATTATACACGAACAATTATTAGTCGAAATAACAGAGCATTTAAGATAGAGCTAAGTTTCAGTTTTACGGGCCATTCTGTTGGAGTTAGTCTTTCAAAATTAATGAATATAATCCTGCTCACTAGAAGGGAAAAACCCATAAAATAATAGATCAACTAATATATATGTATCATTATAAAATTAAGAAAAACCAGAACATGATAAAATTTCAAATTAAAAAGAAAGTTTTATTTTATTGCAAATTTAAACGGAAATAAAAAGTGATATGAGCCTCAGCCCTTGCCACAGATCTAGTGTAGTAAGCCGTTGTTTAATTTAAACCTTAAGAACAGACAAGGCTATAGCAAAGCTTCCTTTAACCCAAGCTTTTTTTAGAGAATTAGGTTAATGGTTGGAAGTTGTTTTCTTATTAAGACCTTATATAGGCCACGATACATTGTGTAAAAAGTAAATATCAAAACCTAATGTGAAAAAACTCTCAAAATCGTAAAAAGACCAAAACACCAAATTAGAAAGTCAATTCTCACATGTGACTATCCATCCTCTTCAATGATACCATATACCAACATGTATCAAAAAGATGAAGAACATGGAGAGAGGGAATCATGTTCATTTGCTAAGACCAGCTTGATTATTATATCGCTAGATCATATGTCGATCCATCTACTTGCCATGTTAATCTAAAATAAGTCAACTAAACCAGCCCCCCTAGTGAACATTGTAGTACTAGGTCAAGCCAAACCAGTCACTTAGGTTAGATCAGGCAACATTATAGATAGGTATCAACTATAATTAGCTACTTGTCTAATTGGTGACAAACTCACCGCACCATCATTTTATTATAAATAGAGGTTTGATATTACGCTAATTACAACAAATACATTGATATCTAAGTAAGTAATACTCATGGCTAAGTTTTCTACCACCATTACCCTTATCTTGGCTGCTCTTGTTCTCTTTGCTGATTTAGGTGAGTAATAGAAAATGTGTTCAAGATTTTCCTTTCATCTATGTTAATAATTAACCTTTCATATATATACGCAGAAGCACCGGTAATTGTGAAAGCAGAGCTTTGCAAAAGGGAAAGTGAGACATGGTCAGGACGTTGTGTAAACGATTATCAGTGTAGAGATCATTGCATTAACAATGATAGAGGAAATGATGGATATTGCGCTGGTGGCTACCCATGGTACAGAGGATGTTTCTGTTTCTTCTCTTGCTAATATACCAAAAGCTCTTTGTTGCTCGTGTGTTTGTTTTACATAAAATAAGTCTGTTCCACTCCATGGAGTCACCTTAATTATGACATGCATGTATGTTTCAGCACTCGAATAAAGCTTAGTTACTTAAATCCTTTTTTTCAAAAAAAAAATATGCATTCAATTATGAGTCCTTAACTATTTAAATCCTTATATATATATAGTAGTTTCTAATATTCATTTTTTCTGTCTTGCTTGTTGTTTGGTTAATCGATCCAAAAGTTTATAAGAGTAGAAAATAGAAGATGGCCATGATAATGAGTATTTTGGTTGTTAGAATCATTAACACTGAATAAAAAAAGAAGAAGATGGTTATCTCGTTCTGGTGAACAAATAAAAAAGTACACAAATTACCTTCGATATTTTGTTTTGTTGCGGAGACAAATTTTTAAGATTACACTAGGTACTATGTGCGGATAAAATGATTATTAAGTAAATACATTTTAGTTAATTACAAATTTATTGTACTATTATCTGGAATATGGAATCTGTATTACGAAACATGTTATATATAAGTTTTTAATTTATTCAACGATTTTTCGTATTGGAATTCGCTTTACTCATAAAATTGATTGAAAACAACAACTTTTTTTCGAACGTAAATAACAAACCATTATATACATCTTTGTAATGAATTGATGAAGATGCGTGATCCGCCTTAGACCTAAAAAGGAAAGAAAGAAAACTGACTCCCATTTAAACCGAGTTAGATGTAATTCTTTTTTTTATTTAGTTATGTGAAAATATGTATATATCTCATTAATGTCAAAATCTGTAAATATTCTAATAAATGATGGAGAATTAATTAAATATGCTAAGAATCTCTTTGATAGTATCAGCATAACATTTTCGTTAATAACACATGAAGATAAAAAAAAAATTAAGTGTTTCTCAATTAATATATAATTAAGGGATATCCCAGAAGATGAAAATGAGCAAGCTATGATTAAGAGGTTTTCTATCAATTACTATTTCCTCAAGGTCCAAAAACCACAATCTAATGGTTATCGTTTATAGCACTTAAGGGTCGAATCCACAGAGAACTAGAGATCTAAGACACTAAGAATACACAAAATTTCTTAATCTAAGCAAATATAGGATTGGTTTTAAACTAACAACCTAAGTGAAATAAAAACAAAAGGAACTAAAATGCAAATGAAATAAACAAACCAAGTGTCTAAGCTAAGCAATAACCCATAAACATAAAGCAATAGCAAAATAAATGATAAAGATGCAATTTATAAAAGTCAACAAAAAGTCAACAAAAAAAAACTTGTGAAGGTGTTTTGGTTTTTGAATACATGGTCCGAAAGCATCTTGGTACAATCTCCACCAATGAAATGAGCATTGATGAACCGAGGAAGGTACTCTTTGAGGAGATTATGATGAAAAAGTTTAGGGGATGGTACTACGATGAATATGATCCGGGTGATACATGGATTCATCTCACTCTATTCCATAGATTCCTCAAGCTTCTTTCATTACTAGAGGTACCACTCCAAATCCTTGTACATAGTTTTATTTTTCTCATCTTTTGCATTCTCTATTTCGTTAGTCTTTTTCTCATATTTTTCTTCACACCGAGACGGTACCAAGATGTGGGCAAATCTATAGTTTCATTGGTGGAGATTGTACCAAGATGCTTTCGGACCATGTATTCAAAAACCAAAACACCTTCACAAGCTTCTTTTTTTGGGCAAATCTATAGTTTCATTAAAAATTAAGCTTTCGATCAGAGAAATAATAGTTTATAAATATAATATAATTAAACTATTGTCTATAAATATTTAAAAAAAATGTTGATGTTGCCTATCCTACAAGAAGCTGATTTAATTTATGTAAGAAAATAAATAATAAATAATTAATTTAAATAGTAGAAATTCTAAGTAAAAATTGTAAAATTAAGAAAAGAAAAATAAATTAATATTTATAAAAAAATCTTACTCTTAAGGTTAAAAGTGTTGGGTTTTTTTTTTTTTTGTCAACCACACATTTATTAAAATACTCCTTGATCGGTTGCCCAATTAGGAGGAGAAACGTTTACAAAAGTAGCTTCAGAAAATAAAAGTCTAGAAGAGCGGGCTAAGCAGTCCGTTTGTAAATTACAAGAACGAGAAATAAGGGAGAGTGAAAAAGAGGGAATGGAACCACGGAGCAAACCAAACTCTTCTAGTAGGTTGGAGAAAGCTGGCCATTCATCAGGTGACTGTACCATCGAGACCAATTCTGAACAGTCTGTTTCAAACGCCTGACAATCAATCCTTCTTGAAAGGATATTCTTCATAACCCAAATTAAAGCTTCCATCTCCGAGTGAAGGGGAGAGGGTGATCACCTAAGGCATTTAGCACCAAGTAGTATAGTTTGAGCGGTCCTCTGAAAACACCATCATCCTAAACCCATAGTTGGATCCGAAGATTTCCATGAACCATCAATCCGATATCGTAATGAATGGGTTGGGGGTTCTAATATTTCCGTTAAGGTATTATTTTCGATCGATTCCACTTGAGCTTCTTCCCACAGCAATTTCTCACTCAAATCATGATTTAAAATATTTGTGGGGTATGATTGTATTCTTTTAAAAACTTTTTTATTCCTATCTTTCCATATGAACCACAAAATCCAAGCAAAACAATTTGTTTCCCCCCCCCCCATCTTGAAGAGATGGTAACCTCCAATAAAGATAATCTAGATTTGAAAGTTCCGAACTTAGAGGAAAGCAACCTGGGACCATGGGCACCGGGGATAATTCCCATATTTCCTGAGAATGGGAGCACTCAAATAAAGCATGATTTATCGTCTCTTCTGCCAACTCACATCTTTTACAGATGGTATCACAGTTAATCCCTCGTTGTACTAGTTTTGAGGTAACTGCCAAAGATCCTGTAGCTATTTGCCATAAGAAATGTTTTATTTTCGGAGGAGCTTTGACTTTCCAAGCTTGTGCTTGTAAATTTTTAAAATTTGGTCCCCATTCTACCGTCTCTACCATCTTTTGAGCAAGTCGATATCCAGACTTTACTGTATATCTCCCTGACTTTGTATAATGCCAAATAAGCCTATCTGGTCTATAAAAAAATACAATTTTTTCTTTCATTAGCTACAGGCCTATAGCTAACTGTAGATTTGGTTGCAGTACCACAAACTTTGGGGAACACCACATGAGATATGGTGACATTCAAAAAGTTTACACTCAGCTTCATACGTTTGGAATGCTTAAATGGATCAACATCTGTCATGCTACGCATTTTTAGAAGAAGTGAGAATTATTTATGTCGCAATCTAATAGTAAAGAAAATACATATGTAAAACCATAAGTTCTCTTAATCATAATTTATAAACGGGTTAGATGTAAAACCATAATTTCTACGACAAGCCAATTGATAATTATATTGTAAGGATAAATTAAGAATGAAAATCATGTACAAAATACCAAATTGAATAGATGAATATAAATAGTAGAGGTGAGACATCACATCTCTTTTCTTAAATCTTTAAGCATCACTATTGTAATAGTTTCGTAGCAATAAGATTTCCAGGAAACAACAACTTCTTCTTTTGATTCGACACTAATGATGTATTGCACATCTCAATACTCAATGACTGTAATAACAGAACAAGGGTATTAGAGTGATATGGACCGGTCTATCGCTGGTCTACTTTGGTTATCTACATCTCGGTTTAATGTTAATACTATATAAGCTTAATTCATCATTAGTGTATAGTTGAAGCTTTGTAACAACATTTTTGGATAATAATGAAAGTTTGTTAAGTATCCGTTAAGCTCTTCTTCGTTCTTGTGATTCCGATGATCGGAATTTAATATGGTATCTGAGCCCATGCCCAATTCCGATTGTGGACCACCCGTGGATGTCCAGTCCCACAAACTTCACGCTTCAGATGTCCAGTCCTGAACGTGAGGGGGGTGTATTAGAATATTGTCCCACATCGGTAGGGTTTGTGATTCTTGGGCAATATATATGTGTTGTGGCAATCCTCCTCCCTTGAGCTAGCTTTTGGGTGTGAGTTAGGCCCACACTAATATGGTATCAGAGCAAATCGTCTTCTTCCGCAATTGTTTCTTCGCCGGAGATGAGCTTTTCCGATTTATTCTTAGCTTCAATTGATCTTTGATTTCGTCTTTGTTTTGTTCGCGATTTGCGATTTCTTCTTTTGATTCACCGGAATTTTATCTTCCGTTATGTTTCTTTCAATTTCTCTTTTGTTGACCTTCAGTGGTTACGATCTTTTGCTTTCTTTACTCAAATTCTTCACACTTTTCTTGTTCTTAAACTGAGAATGGGATCTTATGTACCTCCACCTATTCCGGTGAATCGTCCGCCGTTAAATGGCACCGATCAGCAACAACGTTATCCAGCGGATCAATATGATAATCCCTATTATCTACACAGTGCAGATCATGCAGATTTGTTCTTGTTTCTAATCGTTTATCGAATTCTTCTGATTTTCCTTCTTGGCGTCGTTCTGTTTTGATGGCATTGAATGTTCGGAATAAATTGGGATTTATCAATGGTGTGATTGTTAAACCTCCGATTGATCATCGTGATTATGGTGCTTGGTCACGTTGCAATGATATTGTTTCCACATGGTTGATGAATTCTGTTGATAAGAAGATTGGTCAGAGTTTACTCTTTATGCCAACTGCAGAAGGTATTTGGAACAATTTGTTAACTCGTTTTAAGCAGGATGATGCTCCAAAAATATTTTATATTGAACAGAAGTTGAGTAAGATTGAACAAGGAGCTATGGATGTCTCTACTTATTATACAGCCTTATTTACTTTGTGGGAAGAACACAAGAATTATGTAGAGCTTCCTGTGTAAACTTGTGGTCATTGTGAATGTGATGCAGCTATGAAATGGGAGAGAATGCAACAGAAGAGTAGGGTGATTAAGTTTCTTATGGGGTTAAATTAGAGTTATGATCAAACTAGAAGACATATTCTGATGTTAAAACCCATACCTACTATAGAAGAAGCATTCAACATTGTAACTCAGGATGAGAGACAGAAGAATGTTAAGCCACCTACTAGAGTTGATAATGTTGCTTTTCAAAGTACTAATCCTATGATGA